GATGGCCATGTTTCTAAACGAGCAGAGAAATACTTTGTCTTTGTTGACAGTCCTTCTTCAGTGATACTTAAGCTTGTAGCTTTTCAATCTCCTAGAATTTCTATCAAATAATTATAAATTATTCAGTAATAACTATTTGCTAAATAATTATTAATTTTTTCATAAACACTACCTACTTTCCCTAGCTGCTGCTTCCTGCCTTGGGTCTCTCCCTCTTACTTCTGCCCTGGAGAAGGATATCATGGTCGGTAAAGTGGAGGGTCAATGAAAAAGGGGAAGGCCCTCAACGAGATGGATTGACACAGTGGCTACAGCGATGGGCTCAGGTACAGCAAGAATTATGAGGCTGGTGCAGGACTGGGCAGTGTTTCTTTCTGCTGTATGTAGGGTTGCGATGTGTCAGAGACGGCTCAACAGCACCTGATAGCAACCCTTACCCTAGAAGCAGGAGAAGACAGAGCCAGTTATTATAATGAAATGTGCAAAGACCTAGAGTAGAAAACCAAAAGGGAAGAACACTTTCGGCATTTCTCAAGCTGAACTGAAGAAAAAATTCAAGCCTCGAGTTTCAATATTGAAAGATTCTGTGGGCAAAACATTGAATGATGCAGGAAATGTCAAAGGAAGATGGAAGGAATACACAGAGTCACTGTACCAAAAAGAACTGGTTGATGTTCATCCATTTCAGGAGGTGGCATATGATCAAGAACCACTGATACTGAAGGAAGAACTGGAAGCTTCACTAGGGGAATTTGTTAAACAACAAGGCTCCAGGAATTGACGGAATACCAATTGAGGTATTTCAACAAACGGATGCCGCCCTGGAGGCATTCACTTGTCTATGCCAAGAAATTTGGAAGACAGCTACCTGGCCAGCTGACTGAAGAGATCCATATTTGTACCCATTCCAAAGACAGGTGATCCCACAGAATATGGAAATTATTGAACAGTATCATTACTATAACACTCAAGTAAAATTTTGCTGAAAATAATTAAAAAACAGTTGCGGCAGTATATTGACAGAGAACTTCCAGAAATGCAAGCTGGATTCAGAAGAGGACATAGAATGAGGGATATCATTCCTGATGTCAGGTGGATCTTGGCTGAAAGCAAAGAATGCCAGAAAGGTGTTTGCTTGTGTTTTATTGACTAAGCAAAAACGTATGATTGTGTGGATCATAACATACTATGGATAGCATTGAGAAGAATGAGAATTCCAGAACATTTATTTGTACTTGTGAGGACCCTGTACAAAGACCAGGAGGCTGTTATTCAAACAGAACAAGGAGACACTGCACGGTTTAAAATCAGGGAGTGTGTCAAGGTTGTATCCTTTTACCATACTTATTCAATCTATATGCTGAGCAAATAATCATAGAAGCTGGACTATATGAAGAAGAATATGGCATCAAGATTGGAGGAAGACTCATTTGTAACCTGAGATATGCAGACAACACAGCTGCTTGCTGAAAGTGAGGATGACTTGAAGCACTTATTGATGAAGATTAAAGACTAGTCTACAGTATGGATAACACCTCACCATAAAGAAAACGAAAATCGTTACAACTGGACCAATAAACAACATCATGTTAAATGGAAAAAAGATTGAAGTTGTCAAAAGATTTCTTATTACTTGGTTCCACAATTAGCACCCATGGAAACAGCAGTCAAGACATCAGACTACATATTACACCGGACAAATCTGCTGCAAATGACCTCTTTAAAGTGCTAAAGAGCAAAGATGTCTCTTTGAAGAGTAAGGTGTATCTGACCCAAGCCATGGTATTTTCAATCACCTCATATGCATGTGGGAGCTAGACACTGAATAAGGAAGACCAAAGAAGAGTTGGTGCTTTTGAGTTGTAGTGCTGGCGAAGAATATTGAAAGTACCGTGGAATACCAGAAGAACTAACAAATCTGTCCTGGACAAAGTTCAGCCAGAATGTTATTTGGAAGCAAGAATAGCCAGACTTCATCTTATCTGGTCATGTTGTCAGAAGGGACCATATCCTGGAGAAGGGTTTCATGCTTGGTAAAGTGGAGGGTCAACAAAAAAGAGGAAGGCCCTCAATGAGATGGATTGACACAGTAGCTACAACCATGCTCAGGTATAGCAAGGATTTTGAGGTTGGCACAGGACCAGGCAGTGTTTTGTTCTTTGTACATAGGGTCGCTATGAGTTAGTGCCAACTCTGCAGCACCTAACAACCAAAACAACCTACTTTCCCTAAAAAAGAGGGAATATGCTGAGTCAAAAACAATCACACAGAGAAGGTAAAATAAATTAAAAAACAAAACAAAACAAAACCCACTGCCATTGAGTTGATTCCAACTCATAGCAACTCCCATTAGGTTTACAAGACTTTATGGAAGTAGATTGCCTCATCTTCCTTCCGTGAAGCAGCTGGTGGATTTGAACCACCAGCCTTCTGGTTCACAGTAAAATGCCTTAGGCACTGTACCACCAGAGCTCCTTAAAATAAAAGAGCTCAAAAATCCCATGGAGAAGGTGAAGATGTTCTTGAGCACTTAATTTTGTTCTGAGTTTATTCTAAGTCAGACAGTAAAGAAATATAGTACATTATTCTCATTGTCATATAAAGTAAAACATGGTAAGTGGTGGTGACCTCCAAACCTTTCTGGCACTAATCAAGAAGATCTATATTTAATACCTTTTACACTGAACCTATGAGTATCTAGTGTTTTGGAGAAGAGATTCCACATTTTCAGTTTAGAAATTTTAATTATGTCTCATACCGATAAGGAAATCTGCATAACTTCAGAATGATATATGACATGGAGCTGCCTATGATCAAAAGTGAAAATTGAAATTTGTTTTCTAATTTACAAGAATTTAGAGAATAACTCAAAAACTCATCTTTTTACTCACAAACCATTTAGAGAATTATTTTTAGGCAGTCATTATTACATAACTACCTCATTACATAACTACCAAACCACTGAGAATTACGGCCAGCCAAGTTGGCACACAACCTTAACCATCGCAGCCAGTGGTACTCTGTCTTCACACTTCAGCATTCATTGCTGCCAAACGTGCACCATTAGTGCACAAAATAGTCGCATAGTCGTTTTTTTTTACTATTTACTATTGTAAATGCAAACTGTCAGGTAATGAAAGCCAGTAAGTGAGGAGTGATGTTTTAAAAAATGTTTAAAAGGTTTTTAAGTTTAGATCAAATGACAGATACTGTGAGTTAGATAAATTTTGTATGTTTCTTTATCTCAGCTAAGCAATGCTTTTTACTTTATGTCCGAAAAAAGGCTATGACACCATGAATACCATAGTAACTAAGAACACTGTTTAGTTTTAAGAATTGTGGGGTTTTAAAAAAATTGTTGAAAGATTTCATTTTTAGTGATTCAGTGAACAGATGAATGCTTCCTTATACACATTTTTTTTTTGCCTAAGCATGTCTGACAAAATGTTAAAAATTATCCAATCCTTTGTACATAGATTGGCATTAAATCTATTTTATTTAAGCATTAACTTTTCCAGTAGTTTGCCACACAATTAGCATTTGGTTGCTGAAATGATGATACAAAAAGATAATGGCATTTGATGTATAGTTTATATTAGCTATTTATTAAATTACTCTAACAAGTAACAAAAAAAAATTTCCTGTAGATTCATGCATAAATGGATTCTTTCTTTTTAGTTTCAAGCATATGCAGCATGTTAAAATATATTCTTTGTGTCCGTTGCATCTGTGGGCTTAAGTTTGAGCCAGTGAAGTGAGGGATTTCTACCACTTCCAGACTGGTGCTAGAGCAGTGTTCTTTATGTTTAAAATTTATAAATGAAAGGAGTGCTGAATTTTCTTGAAACCTTGCCAATGGAAAAAGAGGAAGGTGTGCATTGGAAAGTTTCCACCGAAGTAGTTATATGAAATATTTTAATGATACAAAACTCCTTTTAAAAGTCGCAGATTTAGCATTGCATGTTTATTATTAAAGAATTCTTTTTTCCCCCTATTTGATATATCTGTGTAACAACTTAGATATTTACTCCATATTATTATGTGAGATGGGAGCTCGGGTGGCATAGTGCCTAAGGCATCTGACTGCTAACCAGAAGGCTGGTGGTTCAAACCCTCCAGCCACTCCTCTGAAGGAAGGTTGGGCAAATACTTCCGTAGTGATACCTCCTTGGGAACCCAAGGAGGGGGTGCTATGAGTTGGATCTGACTTGACGGCAGTAAGTTTGGTTTGGCTTGGTTTGGTTTTATTATGTAGGATTGAGTGATATGACACAATTGATCATTTCAAAACTTAGTGTATTTTAGGGGTTTCCTTAATTAACTTTCAGACCAAGTATATTAAATTAGCCCTTTTGATTTTTTAACTGGTACAAAAGAGAATCCGCTGTTTTTAAGAGACAGTCTTTTTTTAAAAGACTGTTTTGTTAGTTGTGTTTAAGCATACCACTGGCATTTCCAAACTTGGGCAAGAAATAAGGTAGAAAAAAATATGTTTATACTTTTTAAAAAAAAATCTTTTGTTTCCCTATTCCCCCTTCTTAGCAATCAAGCTTCCTTTCTCCTTCAAGTTTTCCAGTGTTTTCCCAATCATGCATGTATGGAAATAAAGTAATTCATGCTAAAATGTTATAGAGGCCTTGTTACCCTGCCAGGACATTTGCATTTAAAAAAAAAAATGATTAAAAAACCCAACAGTTGACATACCAATTGCTATATTTAGATTATGTATATTAATTTTTGACAAACCAAAAAATTAAGGGCAGGAAGGATGAATGGGGGGGGGGGTTCAGGCATCAGAAGAGAAGGCTTCTTTACAGGCCATTTACCCCAGACTCACACTGTGGACATAAGGTCTGTCCTGGTGAGAAGAGACCCGTCAGTAGATTCTACCAGTACTTCGTGTATCCCAAGCACTGACTGATATTATTTACTTTCTTCTTTTGTCACTTATCGTACTAGCTTGAAATCAAGTCACCTTTTTTTGTTGTTGTTTGCTTAAGGCTGAAAGAGCATATTCCTTTTGTGGAACTATTGAATACATGGCACCAGATATTGTCCGAGGGGGAGATTCAGGACATGACAAGGTATGTTCTATTTTTGAGGCTTCTTTATCTGTCTCCATTAGATGGATGGTGATAATCCTAGTTACTAACTTAGGTACATTGTCTCCTCAACAGCACCCTCTTTCGGGTGTTGGCTGTCTTATGTCCACTTTTTTCCCCTTTGCTTTGTATACTTGGACACATTAGAATATATAGAGTTTTGGTGGAAAAGATAATGAGAAAGATTAGCAAATTCTAGATTTTCTTTTTTAAGGTTTTATTGGTGAGAATTTTTATTTGCTTTATAGAGTAAGTAACCCTCTTGTTCAACTTCACTGATTCTTCAAATAATTTTTATTTTATTTCCATTAAAAAAAGCCTGTATCTTGAGCCAAGTACCAATTGTAACTCCATTAAAAAATAATCATTCTTTTTCTATTGCACGGGACCTTGGTGTTTTAGGACACACTTGTGCCATTTACATTACAGAGGTGTCACTGAGTGCGTAAACTGTGCACATTGTTCCCATCTGCATCAGGATGAATGATTTTGGACGGTGCTTATTAATAAAGATTATTGATTTCTGCTAGAAAACATAGGAGTTCTTGGTTGGCACAAATGATTAAGTGCTGGATTATTAGCTGGGAGGTTGGCAGTTTGAATCCACCAGAGGCTCCTCAGAAGACACACCTAGAGATCTGCTTCCAAAAGCGCACAGACTTGGAAACCCCGTGAAGCCGTTCTGCTCTGTACAAATGGGGTCACCATGAATGAGAATCAACTCGCCAGCAGCCAACAACAGCAACACAGAAACGTGTCATACATCCTCCGTTTAGCTGCTGTTTGCTTTCCGGGGTGTCACTGAGCAAGCATATGGAAAGGGGTCACTCATATTCCCAATTTCTGCCTTAAACTTTGTAAGAAATATTACAAACATTGTTGACTGTTTCTTTACCAAAAATGACCATAGTAACAATCCTTGGAAGAAAAAAATAATCTATTCAAAGTAGTCTACGTTTGTTTTTATGGCCCTCTAAAATTTTCCCCTTTTTTCCTCCCCACTTTTCCTTGCCTGTGCAAAGCCAAGGCTGCGGGAGAAGCTGAGTGATTCTGGTAGGAAATCTAGGGCACATTCCTTTTTTTCCTTCCGTTATTAAAGGGTACAGATTTGCTCAGTTTTTTCTTAACACTTCTGCTTTATTAATAACTTTCTCCAAATAAGGAATGTTTGCTCTTCCTCCTCCCCTCTCCTTCACCCCTTTCCATAATCCCACGTATTTGTTGTTATGTGCCGTCGCAGCCCAAATAGCTGGCTGTGGAGAGTCATTGGTGCCCTTCCTGGCGACTGACATGTACTCCAAAGCCTCTTCAAGTCTGTGTAGCATTAGTTTCAAACCCATGGCTGAAAATCTGATGGTTCGCCTGCATCGGGTTAAGAGCCTAATTTCAAATCGCACGGCAAAATGTGCTGAGCAGGCTGGCTCAAAGGGCAATGAAATGGCATCCATAACCCCCACTGCCATCACGTTGATTCTGCCTCCTATCAACCCTATAGAGCAGAGCAGAAGTGCCCCACAGGGTTTCCAAGGCTGTAAATCTTTATGGAGACAAAGTGCCCCATCTTTCTCTGGTGGAGTAGCTGGTGGGTTCAAAGTTTGATTTGCCAACCTTTCCGTTAGTGGCTGAGGGCTTTAACCACTGTGCCCCCACGGCTCCTTGCATGTATAAGTAGAAGGGTTGAATTGCTCTATTAATCTGCATCGTGGTATTCTTTAAAGCTGTGGAGGAATTTGGTAGGAATTTATAACTACTACAATCTGACAATTACCTGCTAAAATTTAATAGAAGCAATTTTTAAATACGAAAGCCTTGTATTACTCCTAGAATTTCTGCATGCCTGAGATCCAGGTAGAGTTTGTCAGTCAATGTTCTTTCCCGTACATAGAAGCCGCTGACAGCTTTGAGTTAATTACATGAGATTGTTGTTGCTGTATGCGTGGCGTCAAGTTGATTCTGACTTGTACTGACCACATAGGACAGAGTTGAACCACCCCGTGTTGTTGTTACGTGCCGTCGAGTCAGACCCGACTCATAGCAACCCCTCCTTGGGTTTCTGAGGCAGTATCACTACGGAAGTAGATGGCCCAACTTTCCTTCTGAGGAGCGGCTGGTGGGTTTGAACTGCCAGCCTTCTGGTTAGCAGTCAGATGCCTTAGGCACTACGCTACCAGTACTCCTGACCACCCTGTAGGGTTTTCTAATTCTTATGGGAGCAGATTACCAGGTCTTCTCTCCTGCCAAGTGACCGATGAGTTCTGACCTCTGACCTTTCAATAAGCAGTTGAATGCTTCAGCCGTTGCTCCACCAGGGCACCTTTGTAAATGAGATAATGTAAGTGTTGATGTATTGCACACTTGGGCCTGGCACTAAGGGAGCATGCATTAAATATGCTACCTCTCGGGATTCCAGTCTGCCGGTTCCTGTTCCATGTCGGTGTTGCACGTTTACTTTAAAGTGGCTCTGGACTCATTGGTTCTGCATCATCTCTCAAAACTTTAAACCAAAGTGACTCCACCTAAGCTAGTGTATTTGACAATTATTGAAATCTTGATTTGCTTAATTACAGAAGTAACTTTTAATGTATCCAGATCCTTTAAACCATCTATAATTTGCTGTGCTCTCAATCCAGGTGTTAGTTGCATTGGTAAATTGGTTTGCAGTTTAGAATACATTTTATTTTATGTTATTTTAAATCTTTTCATGCTTCCCACCAATGAAGACGTGGGTTTCTGTGATAGATTCCATAAGAGGAACTGATTTAAGTGGTTATAAAAGAATAGCACCTTTTGGAACTTTTTTTTTTTCTAGTTTTGTTCTTCTGAGAAATTTAATTTTAAGGAATTCCCTAAGATTCATTGAAATGGAATAATTATTAAAAATACTGTTTGACACTTTTAAAAAGATTTTTCCCACTTACAAATCCAAAGACTTGACTTAGGTAAAATGTAAAGAATTTATTTAAAAAATTAGAAAAATAGTTAACCAAAGTAAAATCAGTAGTAGTTTAGAAAATAAAACCCTTTAAGTCCCTTGATTGACTTCCCTGTGTTTAAATTCTGTGATAAGGGTACTCTGATATTTGTCCCTAAATGTCTTTTTTACATATGCTAATTGAATACTCCTTGGGCAGAGAGCTATGTACAAAATCTGTCTGTCCTCTATCTGTTAAAATATTTTCCAAGTATATCGCTTTATTCTTTCATCTTTTTCTTTCTTGTAAAATACATTTTAGTTGATAATTCTATCACTTGAACTTACTGTTATTTTGTAGGCAGTTGACTGGTGGAGTTTAGGTGTCCTGATGTATGAGTTGCTAACTGGAGCGTCTCCTTTCACCGTTGATGGAGAGAAGAATTCCCAGGCTGAGATATCTAGGTGAGCGGTAACAGAGTCATGAGCTGTTCTCCCAGGAGGCTGATCAAATTGCTACAACTAGGCTCATGGGGGGAAAAAAATTTTGTTAACAAGGATAGATAAAATGATATATATGTAGTAAGTTTCCATGTTAATCTGTTTCAATTTTATTTGATGGTGTTGTAGAAACTTTTCCCCACTATATTCATAATGTAATTTCTTGGTAACTTTAACATGAACAGAGTGATCCTTTTCAACTCCTGGATATATACTCAACAAAAACCAATACCACAAAGTCACACCGGTAGAAGTTGTCATAGTATTATTCAGTTCCTTTCCTTCTTAGCAGTTAACCACCATTGCAAGCTTATATTTTTATTTATAGTTATTTGGTTAACATCTGTCTGCTCCACTAGATTGTAAGCTCTGTGAGAGCAGGGGCCTGTCTGGCTTTGATCCTCAGCTTTAAATATCCAGGTCCTAGCACAGTACTTACTACATGGAATTCAGTAAATATTTGTGGAATGAAATGAGTTAATGGACCAAAAAGAGAACAGTGGTGAAGCATTATGCTAATTATACTAGTTATTATGTTTTTGCCGTTTTTACTTGAAGTTTATAACTTTGAGAATATTTTTGATATTAAAATTAAAATTAGAACTTCCACTTTTACGATGGAGTAACAGGGACTAGATTTACCCTCATGCCTGGAAAATTTTAAAAATGGGTAAAATGTATGAAACAACAGTTTTGAAGACATTGGACATCAGGTAATGAAGGACAGTGATCACTGAGAGGTGGAAAACTAAGGCAGTGAGCCATGTGATTCACTCAGCTTCCCGCCCTGAGAAAGAACTTCCAGGCTGTGTAAAATGATATATATGTAGTAAGTTTCCATATATGTTAATGTGTGGCAGGGAGGGGGACCCAGGCAGAGTTGAGGAGATGGAGTAGCCAGAGCAGCCCAGAGAGAGCAGCCCAGAGATTTGCAGAAGGGTGTTAAAGTTGAGTGTGAGAAATGCCTGCACGTAAAGAAACTACTCAATGAAGTTAAGATGCTGTTGCTCTCCAAATTGATCCATAGATTCAGCATAGTAACAATCCCAACAAGTTTTATGAAGTTTTTTGGTAGAAATTGACAACTTGAATCTAAAATTCATAAGGAAATATAAAGAACTTTGGTGTTGTTTGTTGTTAGTGCCGTCCAGTCGGACCCGACTCATAGAGACCCCTCCTTGGGTTTCTGAGGCAGTATCACTATGGAAGTAGATTGCCCAGCCTTCGTTCTGAGGAGTGGCTGGTGGGTTTAGAATAGTCAAAAACAGCTTTGAAAAAATAAAACAAAATTGATTTCAAGATTGTTAGCATTTTATAATTTATAGACTTACTGTAAACAAAAAACCAAACTCGATGCCATCTAATTGATTCCAACTCACAGTGACCCCCATTGAGTTTCCAAGGCTGTAAGTCTTTACAGAAGCAGACTGACTCATCTTTCTTCTGTGGAGCAGCTGGTGGGTTTGAACCACTGACCTTTTCATTAGTAGCCAAATGCCTTAACCACTACACCACCAGAGCTCCTTCACATTTATTATAGCTACGGTAATTAAGACAGTGTAACGTTGGTATGAAGATAGACAAATGATCGATGGAATAAAGCCCGAAATTGAACCACACATAGAGACTCAACTAATTTTCAACAAAAGTGCAAAGACAATTTGGTGGAGAAAGGATAGTGTTTTCAACAAATGGTGTTAGAACCATTGTACAGCCATATTCAAAAAAAAAAAAAAAAAAAGAACTTCAGTGCATGCTTTGCATCATATAAAATAATTAACTCAAAATGGTTCATGGTCCTAAATGCAAAACTTTTGGAAGAAAACATAAAGGAAAACCTTTGTGCCTTAGGGTTAGGGTTTGATTTCTTACATATAATACAAAAAGCACAATCCATTAAAGAAAATACTGATAAATTGGACTTCACAAAAGTATTTCCACTCTTCAAAAGATGCTGTTAAGAGAATAAGAAGATAAGCCACAGATGGGGTTAAAATTACAAATCATGTATCTGATAAAGAAGTTGTATCCAGAATCTATAAAGAATCTTCAAAGCTTAAGAAAGAAAACAGCTCAGTTTTTTAAATAATCAAAAGATTGAAGAGCTGTGACACTAATATATGCACACCCTTGTTCATCGCAGCACTATTACAATAGCAAAAAGATGGAAACAACCTGAATGCCTATGAGCGGAGGAATGAGCCAACAAATTGTGGTACAGACACACAGTGGAATACTACGCACTGTGCAAGAACAGTGATGGATCTGTGAGACACAGTGTGGATGAGTTTGGAGTCCGTTATGCTGAGTGAAGTCAATCACAACAGGACAAATATTGTGTGAGACACTATTGCAAAGAGGCACGAAAAGGGTTTCACGAGAGAAGAAGTATTCTCTGATGGTCACCAGGGTGGGTGCAGAGGTATTCTCTGATGGTTACCAGGGTGGATCAGAAGGGAGGGTGAGCCACCGGCTAGAGGGTGCACACGTTTTATGAAGGAAACAAAACAAAAGAAAATCAGCAGCCCAGGTTCTTTTAATGATCAAAAGATTTAAACAGACATTCACCAAAGAGTGTCTATGGGCGGCAAACAGGTACACAAGAAGATAACCAACATCATTAGTCATTTGAAAAATGGAAATGAAAACCACAGTGGTGTTCCATTGCACACCCTTGGCCAAAAACAGACTGAGCAGACCGAGTGCTGATCAGGATGTAGAGGAACTAAAGTTCCCATCCGTGCCTGGAAGAATGTCAAATAGTTTATCATTTGGGAAAACAGGTAGTTTCTTAAAAATTAAAGATCACCTACCACATGATCAGGAGCTCTGGTCGTGTAGTGCCTAAGGCATTTGCTAACCAGAAGGCTGGTGGTTCAAACCCACCAGCCATTCCTTGGAAGGAAGACTGGGCATTCTACTTCCATAGAGATAACCACCTCGGAAACCAAGGAGGAGTCTCTATCAGTTAGAATCAACTTGATGGCAGTGAGTTTGGTTTTTTTTTGTTTTTTTTTTGACCATATGATCAATCCATTTCATTCCTTGGTATTTACCAAGAGAAGTGAAAACGTATGTCTGTACAAAAGCTTGCACACAAATGTTCATAGCAGCCTTATTTGTAATAACCAAATACCAGAAATAAACCAGATGTTATGTCAGCGAGTGAATGGTTAAACAAATGGAGTTTATCCATACAACTGGAATACTACTTAGCAATAAAAAAGGAATGACCTGTTGATGCACACAACAGTGTGGGTGAACCTCAAGATAATAACACTGAGTGAAAGTAGCCAAGCAGTATGGAGCGCATGCGGTATGATTCTGACTCCAGACAATGCAAACCGATCTGTCGTGTATGGAAGCAAATCAGCGCTTGCCTGGGGACTAGAGTGGGAGAGAGATTACAAAGTGCAGGCGGAGATTTTGGAAGGGATGAGTGTATTAATTATCTTGATTGCGATAATGGCTTCACAGGTGAGTGTGCATGTCAGAACTGTCAAATTGTACACAAATGTTCTTCAGTAAAATTTTTGAAATGTACCTTTTCCAGGACAGTGTCAGAAGTACATGATTTCTCATTATTCCATTTCACTTAACAGCAGAGTTAAGTGATTAGGAGTACGCCTTTTTTAAATCACAGGTGATTAAGTCACTACTGCTATGAACAATTCTAAATACTACTTTTCTTACATTTAATGTTTTGTGTGAAAATGACTGAGAATGATAGGAAACCTTGAACACAGTCTCAAGACTCTGGTTTCATTGTCAAGGCCCTATGTGCCTTGGTGACGGTGGAAAGAGCGCCCTTAGCTTGACCACACTGAGTGGTGGTCCCTCTGAACCGGTCTCCCTCTTTCTCAGTCCACACACACGGGCGGTCCTCGTTTTGTCATCTTCCTTTCCACCCTGGCCCCACCCACGGAGGAGCAGCGTTTGTTACGATGGTGGGAGCATTCTGGACCAAGTGATGGTTAACTGGACTTTGCTTTTATTGCCGTTAGATCAATCGGTTGACATTCTGGTTTCAGAAAAGGAAAGAGCCTGAATCAGATTGTCTGAAATCTTCAACTAGAGCAAATGAATTTTTCAAAAATTTAAACAGACTTATTTTCTCTTTAGAGAGCCTGAATCAGAGGTCTGAAATCTTAAAAATAGAGCAAATATGTTTTTCAACAACTTAAATAGAATTTTTCTCTCTTTAATCAGTTATCCCCTAGGTGTGTTGTTAATAATTTTGTTTAAAGCTTGGTGTTAACCTGTGATTCCATATTTGCAACTGTAATTTACAAACAGTATAATAACTGAGTTTGCCTTCTTTACTTTTTCTTTTCAAGATAATCATTCTGATTCTTTCCTGGTATAAAAGCTTTCATAAGCTGTTTTTCTTAAAATATGCACCATTCAGGTAAATGTATCATTATCTTCACCCCACCTGTCTTAGTTAATTAGCCAAGGCTTTTTCTAATCATTGAATGCTTCAGTTCCTTAATGACTATGATCTTCTCTGAACTCTGCAAAATTGCTATATTTTTTATTTAAAATGGTTCAAAATAATGTGTCCTCCAAGTTATCTGCTTCCCTCTTGTCTGCAGATAGCCTAAAAGCAGAGCAACATTTGTTCCTGAACATCAAATTTCAGTATGTGATAAGAACTTAGAATGAGAAGGAAACCTCAGTGTCCAACTCTCTGGCCAGTGGAGGAACCTCTTTATCAGTACCCCTGATAGTCATCATCTCCTTTTTACTAGAATACCATCCATGGAAGGGTGGCATTGTTGTGTAAGGTATTTGCAAGGAAGTCCATACACCTCAACATAAAGAAAGCAAAAATCTTCACAACTGGTGCAATAAACAGCTTCATGGTAGATGGAGGAAGGAGTGAAGTTGTCAGGGATTTCATATTACTTGGTTCTACAGTCAACGCCAATGGAAGCAGCAGTCAAGACATCAGACAGCGTATC